TTTTTTTTTTGAAAAAGTAATAATTAGTACTTTTGAGGCTAGTCGTTGTTACTACAACTTTTCATATTTCAGCTTTTCCTGGCTCCTCTGTTCTAGGCATCCTAAAGGAGGATCATTTATCCGGCCAAACAAGGCAAATTTTGGAGTAGATTTTCTTACTGCAGTAAAGGATCGGTACGGATTGAATGATAAGCAAGATGTTCAGTATGGGACAGAGAATACAGTAGTATTTGGGACGAAGACTGTGGAATTTGTTGGCATGGATTCTGTCGCAGAGCAGCAAAGGCAAGTATAATATATGAAAATCTAAGATACATTATTAGTGATTGATAGTCAAGTAGTATTTCAACTGAAAGCAAAGGAAGCTGACTGCCATGCATATAATATTGTCATATATCTAAAAGTAGGGCAAACTCCACTATGGTGGAAGAGACAAGAAATCTTCCTATTGTGGCTTCATAATTTACAGGTTTTACAGATAGGAACTGGGATTATGTCATGCTTGAGTACTCACAATCCTCATTTTGATTTCATAAAGTAGAAGGCGAAGATATCTGGGGAGGAATGACAGATATGATATTGGCAATGATCATACGCACGCGTGGTCCTTTTTAAATAGATGTATTTAGATGTTTTCTTAATATTATACAGTATTATTTAATCTTTGTTTACTTGTATCTCTAATGACTTTGTAACTAAGAAAGGGAAGGCAGAAAGTCACTGTACTGCTAGTGAAGAACTCTTTCAGTCAGTTCATGTTATGTTCATGTACCTGGAAGGGTAAGAAAGAAGTAACTTAATGATGTGTAGTAAATTGCAGTTTTAATGGCCTCTAGCAGTAGAGATGTATTAGTTCAGTAGGTGGCAGTCTAATTCTGAGCTGATATTCCACAATTATTCTCCCTTTGTCTCCCAGAACATACTAAGCAGTCAAAAATACATTTTTTAAAATTATTTGCTAAGTGTTACAAAGGATGCACAAATTACTCAGAACCTCTTGCAAAAAGTATTGCAAGAAACCTGTTTAACTTGGAACCTCTAATTAAATTCCAATTTGCATAGCTATATTTAATCTGTTTTATCACTCTTTTTTTCAGTTGGATAAGGGTTTCTGGGGGGAGTGTGGGGGGGTGGGAATTGTGGTTCAACCAGACCTATTTTGTAGTAGCAATGTCAAGGCAAAAAAACAGAGATGTTCGAGTAAGAATGACACTGCAATGTAGCAATCTCCACAATGCTAATTCCAAAGGAGAGGGTATGTATAAAAAGGATGTTATTTATACAGGTATTTATACACACTTGTTTCTATTTGAAGATTAATTAATAGGATGTTCTTTCTCATTTAGACAGCTGAACAAACTGGTAGATATCTCGGTGCGTGAGTGTGCAGTGAGCCATGCTGGTCAGACAGAGGAAATCAGCAGAACGTGTGCCAGTATCCTTTTTTGCTACATTGCATGATACCACAAGTAAAGTATATACTTTAGCATTCCAAGTGTTCACTTCAATGAATGATACTTGTATCCTTTTATTAAAAAATTATTGAAACTGTAGTTTATATTTAGAAGTTTAATGCAATAGTTACAGAGTTTAAAAGTCGATGCCTACAGTTTTTGAGAGGAAATGCAAATTGTGGATAAAAATACAAGTACTGTCATAGATTGCTACTGTGACTGCAATTTCAAAAGGCTTCAGCAATTTTTTTTTTTAAATTTAACCCTAGAATAGATAACTCCATAAAAGTACAACTGATATGTTCTGTAGACACCAGAGACTTCCAATATATAACAAATAATATGTTCAGTATGCTGTGTGTTGTGACAGTGTTACAGAAATACAGAAAAGGTATTATTTGTTCATTTGAAAGGACTGGTAAGAGTTCTTGTCAGTATAGAAATTAATCCATTTTAGGATTTGAAAAGTTAAGCTATTTTATAAAACTGTAAGCCATGTCCATACCACAAATCAAAATAAAATTTGCTGTAACTGAGCAATAGTATCTCTTAGTCCAAACAAGTGTAATCTATTTCTGTTTATTTTATTCAAACCCTAATTCTAATTTCTGAAAAGGGAAGTTCAGATTTGAGATAAGTTTCTTTTTCTTAACATGACATTTCAGATATGAGGCATATAAACCTATCAAAAAATTTGATATCATCTTGGGAGACAGTAATAGATATTGCTTCTCAAGTTCAGAATCTGGAAACACTTAATGTCAGGTATAAATATTCATATTTGGGTT